GGGGATTTTAAAATAATGTACTAAAACATAAAAAGTAATAAGTTCAAATCTGGAACAAATATAAATATGTAATCATTTCTTATAAATACCATTTCCTAATGTAATTTTCCAAGATATTAAAGATCATAATGCAAAAAATAAATTTTTCAAAAGTAATAGGCTTTATGTTTGTTAAACTACATGCATTTATGAAAGTTCTTATGAAGTTTCAAGCAGTTTCATCCATTAGTTTTATTGTTGGAATGAAATATAGTAAGATTTGCATTGGCTACTCAGAAAGTTAGTAGCCGGTGGTCATCGGGTTAAATCTTACAACTCATTGTGTGACTCATCCACCAGTTTTATGATTGTTTTACTTCCAATACAGGTTTTTATTTCTTTCCAGCTGGTGAATGCGTACATATACATGAATGATGTAGATGCTAGGGAATAGTATACGTACTTGGTATGCACAATTTTTATTTCTAATGTGTTTTTCATGAAAAAACAAACATATTTATGAGAATATGCATCTTATCTTGACCACCACCATCACATTGTATTGGAACTGCATATAGTAAAGTGTTTTGTTGGACTTAATATGATCCATAAAGTTAGAGATACATATTTATTATGGTTTTAATACATTTAATTTGGCATGTAGTTATACAGATTGGTATTAATATAGTAGTATAAAGGTTGCATCTTGAGGTGTCTATAGTTGTTTAACAGTGTATATTGCAAATTCCAAGATTATGGAGTAGCTTCAAAACAGCATTAGTGGCAAGGTTCTTAACCGAAATGGCTTTTGGAGGATCTTTGAAACTTTATTGTAATAATATACTGTTTTTCAAATTTTGTATTAAATATTTAATATGAAATTAAAATTTGTAAACTACAATACTAAATTTTTGTTTTAATAAAATACTATTTTCTTGATTGAGTACAAGTTTACATACTCAGGGAGTAGAATTTGCTGCAAGATCCTGTAAAGCTTTTGCATTTAAATAGTTATGGAAATTTGTTTTCTGTCAGATTTGTATTTAATATTAGAATTAGTTATATGTCCATGCATAAAATAGCTGTATCAAAAATTGTAAAATACTGGCTTGGAAAAGCACAACTTAGGAACAAAACATTAAGTGCATAAATGTGTAAAATTGCAGTGTATTGTATTAGGTTTTAAATAAACTTGTACTTTTTCATCTAATACAGGTCTAGTGCCAAAATCAGTTGTGACATTAAAATGTTTTTTCTTATGGATGTTTAAAGCTTCACTTTTGTAATTTATTGGTTTCAACACACTCAAAGGTTGTTATATTAGCTCTAGTATTTAATAAAGTTTATATGCGTTCGGATTGTACATAGAAATATCATGTGATTATTCTGCCTGGCACTAAATTGTTGTGTTATTCACTCTTCTAGGTGTTTGTGGCCAATCCAAATAAACCTAAACCAATTCTTGATATACTTCTCCGAAATAAAGAAAAATTGGTTGACTTCCTCACAAAATTCCACACTGACCGTTCAGATGATGAACAGTTCAATGATGAAAAAGCCTACCTGATAAAACAGATTAGAGAATTAAAACCTCATGAAGAGCATTAACATTTAAAATATGTAAGATTGTGTTTCATCCTCTCATTCCAAAATTATTTTTTTGTTTTCAAGTTCATTGAGAGGCTGTTAAAATGTTAGCATTGTAGAATTGTGCTGTACAGAAGTTTAAATGGTAATTCTAAGGTAAAGAAAAATACAGAAAACAGTAGGTATTGCATATTAGCTTTTGTTTTAGTTTGATGAATACAGTGTAATTGTACTGTAAATAAATTTTTACTACAAATTATAAGTACATGTATGACATTGATTACATGTAAGTAGATATACAAGTATGTATTTGAAAGATAAAATACCTAGGATATGCTACTGAGGTTATTTAAAAAAGTCCTGTTGAATATTTAAAGCAATTTGAGTCAACTAAAAATAAAAGTTGTTATAACAAAAATTATTTGCTAATGTTTGACTGGTGCTTGCTCATTTGTGCATTAAAGTTTCTATTCAGAAATATGTGTTTAAATCTCTTGAAACATTTCAGCCAGTACAACAGTACATGTACTTCCACTTAGTATTGGTATGGACTTTATCAAAGTCTGTTGTTCTTAGATATTGTTAGGTAACTTTGTTTTATTAGATTTTTAATAAAACAGTTGTGCATTTTGCAGTAGTGCCCAAATACATTCTATTCTTGGTTCATGAATTTTAAATACCATTGTAGTTAAGACAACATGGATTTTACTAGTGTTTTGCTTACATGATAAAAAAATATTAAACAACAATTTGTGTCTTAATTTACAATAAATCAGGCAGTCTGTGATGTATTTTTTTATCTTAAGATTACACTCATAAATGTAGGTGTTTAAAAATTTTATGTGAGAATGTTTTGTTTTCTTTTGTTCTCTAAAAAGTGCTAAAATGTATAGATTTTATAATGTGAATACGGTTTGATTAACAAATAAAGTGGTAAAAGTAAAGTTTTTAATAGGATTTGGAGTTTTGATGGAATATAATTATGTGTGTGTTAGAAGGTAAATCTTTAGTTTTTAAGAGAAAAAATTTTTCTCGTAGAACTGGTATTCCACTTAAAATTGACCTACTTCATTTAAAAAGATTTAGGATGAAGTTTTGGCTTGATTCTGAAAACTTAAAAAGTAGTCAGGTCTTTCCTTAATATGCTTAGAGGCCACTGGAAAAATTGACAATGTATTCATCCCTATACTATTCTGGTAGAAACTAATAAAAGAAAGTAATAATTGCAGAATAATCTTGTTTTTTTCACTTTCTTTTCAGCCATTCCTATAAATATATGTAACAACTTCTAATTTAAAAATCATTGAACTAGTGATAAGAATATATATATATAAAAAAAAGTTAAAACCACTGTGGATAGTATGATTAGTTTCAAAAGTTAGGGATCAAGAATATCCCAATGGTTAGCAAGTAGGATTGAGGTTTGCATCCCACTGTTGACAAAAAAATCCCCTACACATAATGCTTTATACTTGGTGTTCATATCCCACTGTTTGGTATTACAAAAGTTAGCAATGTGGTGGCAATTAGCTGCCTTCCCTCTTGTCTATCACATCAAAAGTAGGAGCAGTTAGCATAGATAGCCCTCATGCAGCTTTGTGAGAAATTCAATAAACAAACAAAAGTTAAATGATGATATATGTAATTGTTGAATAAAAATACACTAGTATTGCACTTTTTTGATATTGCAGATCCCCCAACATTTGTCAATATGTTTTATAAACTTTAACATGTCTGCTGGGCAGAACTACATGTAACATACAAAATTTAAGCAGCTGAATTCTGTACATAATCCAACCTAGTAAAATTAATCTCTATAATTGAAAATTTTATGCTGGTACAAACTTTGTTTTTGAAGAGTGTTGACCTTTCAATTATTCTACTAAAAGATCCCTCTAATCTCTTGATACACTAAACACAATTTTCCAAATCAGTTTTATCTAACAGGCACAACATATTCTGAAAAGCATACTCTTCTTAATACAAATAAAAATATGTTTTTTGTTAGCTTGTGGCTCATTTTACAAAGTCAAAAAAAATTACAGTGGTTGCGCTGAATTTTAAAATTAAGGAACATTATTTGTGAAAACTATGTATTAGACTAAATTACATGTTTTATCACAATCTCTGGTAATTGATTTCCTGTTTGAAAAACCATAAACTTGAATGTGTACATTCTTAACCCTGATCATGAATTAACAAGTCAGCTAAAAAAATCTTATAGTAGGCTAATTAGTGTGCCACTCAAAATGCATTGTGCTATTAGTTACAGGCATGGCTTCATCTTTTTTGTTTCTGACAGTGTCCATCTGGAAAAGTTTCCAATCATTAATGCATCTTTTAGTCTCCAATTTTCACATGGAGACACTAACAGAATCCTAAAGTCAATAGTTAAATGACAGGTTCATTGTTGCAACTACTCATATTAAAAAAAAATTCTCTTTATACTTAGTTTTAAATGGAGAAACAGTTTGTCTGTTCAATATAGCCATATGCACAATGTGCTTTTACCTATTGCACTACAAGCATCTTATAGCTGATTCAGTTTTCAGTCCTTAGCAAAGTATGTTTATCAATCAATTCTTTAACATGTATAATGCCAAATTATTTGTTAAGAAAAACTTGCAATAAAAACAGTACAGGATGATCTGAGATGATGATTTTGTTTAAGAAATTAGACCAATCAAAGTACACTGAGAAATGAGGAGGAAACCCTATAATTCCTGTTCAAAAGAATAAAAATGTCAATTGATAAAGTTAGTCATTACAACAACTTTTATCATTTACTACTTTTTTTCCCCTGAACCTATATTATGGATATTTTTTGCAAATTTTATAGCATTCTGGAAATGCTTGAATAAGAAGCCATTCAAGGTTGTATAGCTGTCAATTTCAAACTTCGCTTTTAATTGCACCTCTTTATGCTCCTTAAAATGATTAGCAGTATTAAATGCTCAAAGTTGATTGTTTTGTGGATGTTTTATTCTATGCTTTCTAAAAATTTATTTTCAAATTATTTAATTTCTTACAGCTTGGTACACGAAGTCAAATTTCAATGACTTGTATATTACTTTTCCTTCCTGCCACTTTTGTGTGTTTCTTATGAAAACAAACATGCTTAAAAAAGGAAACTTTACAACTCAAAGTTCTTTCTGTAATTCTGACATACATAAACAGAAACATATGAAATTATATTCAGCAATAAGAAGTAATATTTTATGACAATTATTTTAAAAAATGCACAATTTTACCAAATGAGGCATGCTAACTTGAATTTTATAGATTGCAGTTTTAAAAATCTTTCAAAAATCAGTACATTTTGCTACCATCAAGTTAGCTCATCAGAGTGATGTTCCATCCTCTTCATTTTACTTTCTTTACTTTGATGATTTACATGATAGAATTTAATCTTTAAAAAAATTATAAATAGAAAGTGAGAAAAAAATTGGTGTCAGAATTTGTGATCATTATAGATTGTAGTAATCTGCATGGAATATTAAAAACAAAAATTCTTTCAACTGAAAATAATAAGGAAATAATTCAAATTTTATGTATAACATTTTTTATATAAAGATACAGCAAGTGTAATACAAAGGAATACATTATACAATATAGTACAAAGCTGCTATATAACTAAGAAAAACTTTGAGGAGGATCTTTATCTGGTCTGCATTGGAAAAAGTTATGTGATCATGAAGAATTTTATATAAAAGTGGGTTTTAAGTAATAAAAAAAAGAAATTCTTTAGTGTAGCTACAAAAGACAAATATTAACTAGTTTTGCTCTTGAACAAGAACTTTGAAGAAGTATTCAACCTAGAAGGAAGTGAAGAAAAGAAAACTTCAATTAGCTGACATTATAAACACACTAGACCATTTTATTTGTAATAAATATTGTAAACTTGAAATCAGTGATGACTGTGAAAACTGTTTTTCTTCTCGAAGTAAAAATAAGTCCTAGTTATTATACTGAAAATGTTATTGCTATAAAAAATGTGGTCCTACTATAATTTGAGACAAGTTTGTTTGTCCTCTAACTCCTAGGTTTTTGCACTTGGACCTATCTAATATGATTTAATCAAGTAGATTGATTTGGTATGTGTCAAAAAAATTTAATTTATTTAAAATTGCACAGATTTCATAACTCCAGTGATGGTTAAATATAAACCAGTTAGTAGGAGTGGCCACTAAGAGTACTGATAGGATTTATCCAGTTTCCACTGTCATTACATGGGGTATACATATAGTTTGTGTACTTTCAATCATCACTAACACATTTAGGACACAAACAGAAGCACTACTTATATTCATAACTGGTAAAACATTAAATCTAAAATTGCATTTCATTTTCAAATCCCATCAGTCATTTGAAAGACTAGTAAATGTACCTGTGTGATGAACGATGAGAAGTTTATGAAAGTTAACAAATTATTAATGTTAACTTTCATAAGCCTCTCACCATGCATCACACAGGTACATCTACTAGTTCTACAAATTTATATGCTTTTCAAAAAATACTAATGAAATAATAACAATAGCAGTGCTGATAAAGTGGATGTCTGGTTTGAAATGACAATGATTTGTCATCCAAAGGTTCATCAGAAGGCAGGATGTAACAGAAAGTTCAGTTCCTTGTTATTAAGTATTTGTTTTCAAAGAAAGACTGATAACTGTAGACTTGACAAAAGCTGAATAGTGGAATAGAGCAAATTATGAGGTATAAGGATTCTTTACCCTATTAACAGGATTAATGTCAAGTTTCCAATGTTAATATACTGGGTATCAGAAAAACACGTAGGTTCTAGAAGTCTTAATATAAAACACTATAACCAGAGCACTTTCGAAAGGTGGACCTTTCTTCTTTAGGGGTGAGGTCCACTTTTTGGAAGTGCTCGGGTTATAAGGTTTTTATCGTTTTGATATACTGGGTGTGGTATGATTGAGTGAACTTATGAGTCACATATGATAACATCAGTGTAAATCAGATACTACTAATATTCAACTTCTCTTCTAGTTCTGTAAGTCATTAGCATGCCTGGTATGAATATTTTCATCAGTTTAGCTTGCACAACATAGATGCCTGGGAGGAAATTCCCAGATGCTCCAGCTATGTTCTTGATGCATAGTCTGTCTTCAAAAAGTATTTTGTAAGCATTAGATTTCATTGCTGAATCTTCTAAATTATAACAGTATGAATGAAACTGGTATTTGTAGACCTAAATTCTATTTTACTGAAAACAAGTCAATCAACCAGCAACTCAGTTAAATTTAAGTGATTTTTACCACTTGTGCTTAGTTATAAAATTATCTATATAACTTGCCCTTAACGAGTCATAATTTCTAGAATTAATTTCATAATGACAGTTGGTCACAAACTTCCATAAAGACTAGAAAGTTTTTATTAAATGGATATTTCCAGATGTAATATTTGAAATCTTAAGATGCTGTCTGCCTAAATTTACAAGTAACTCATCTAACAAGTGTTTTAAGAGATTTATCTTTCAGAATTGGAGTAAAAAATAATAATTTCACTTCAAGAAATTTACCTCTAATATTCCATCTTCTGGTAAATCTGTACAATGTACAGAATTTTTCACTTTGTCAGTTCCAAATTTGGCTCGCAAAGTGTGAGGACGAAGTAAACGAGCAATTTCCTGGAAAAATAGAGAAATATGCAAAAATATGAATTTGTGGCATTATTCAAGCACATTTACATAACTGATGATCAGTGTTTTTTTTATTCCTGTTGTAGGTGTAAAACAAATCAAGTATTACTATAGGATGATCAAGATTATAAAATACTGACATAATCACATGGAGTAAATGCTTCAAGGCAGAAGTATTATCTACAACAGGGAATTAAGTACTTTATTTATGTAATTTATTATTTGACATTATAACTTAAAAAAAAAACAATGAAAATAAACAGTCATCACATCAAGTACGTCTTTGTATCACAAAGTTTAACACATTCACTGACACCCCGGACATCGATACCCATGCTAGATACCATTGTTGTTGTTTTTTATTAGGAGCATTTTAATAATACAAAATAAATTATCAGATAGAGTATTTATGGGCATATATACTTATTGAACTAAAATCTGTACCATTATACACATATGTGTCAATTCTTATATATATAACTTGTCATGGTTTTTGGGCCTTTTTTGAATGTACAAGAAAGATAAAGACAGATAACCTGGATTCAGGTATTCCTAATTTGAAATTACTGACCAGGAGGATGGCACATAACAAGTAGTGTCCACTGCCACAAGAGTTTTGCACCAAGTAATGGGATTGACTTGTCTTTTTTACATAGCACCTACAGCTGTAAATGCAGAGACTTGGTGTTCAGCAGCTTAATGTCTTGAACCTTTCAATCCACAGCCCAACCCACAACATTCTGCCATGAATAAGTTTCTTATTAGTATTAAAATTAACATAAAAAGAAAAGTAAACTTACTGGATCATGTGGGCCTACTAGTTCCCAAAACAGTTTTGGAGTGTCTGGTCCCTGTTTGCTAATGATTTCCATAACAATACATGGACCAGAAATCAGTTGGGAGACCATGTCCTAATTAGAAAATTAGAATATTAATATCATAATTATATATATATATATATATATATATATATATAATATTGTATACACTAAATACTACTTCTTTCTATACTATTATATAGTATAGTATTTTTTTTCCAAAGCATTAAAGTTAGAGACCTTATGATGACCATCTATTTGTGTCATATTTATGTTATCACTTATTTTTTTATTCTCTAATAAAACAAATATATATTATGGTACTGTTATTAAAGTACACACCTGTATGAGATTTAGATAAATATATATATATATTTAAATTCAAAAGTCAAACATAGCCATCTGTTACATGGAAAATTTTGAAATGGTAAATTTCCACAAGTTTAATATAGTAACAATATGGCATGAACCTCTAGCTATATTTGGGTCTAAATCTTAACTAAAAACTCACCAAATATTCAGCCAACACACCTGCATAAACTTCATAGAATTCTTGAGCAGCTTTTTTACTCAAATTAAACTGTGAAAAAAAGAGAGTAATAAATCACCCAATCAACACTCATTCTTGTTTCAGGATTCTTAAAATAATTAGTTATAACATACAGTTTACATTCAGTACAATGTAATAACTGAAGTATTTTCTAAGCTACTAAATTTAAAAGTTGGAAAGTTATCTTTTTTTTTTCTCTGGAAAAGTGAAGGTCAGTGTAAAAGTACAATGAAAACAACATTTTTTTATTAAATATAATTCTAATTTTCATTATGTATGATTTATACACTGACTAGCCATATTTTGGTAGGTTAACAGTTTAGATTTGACATGGCATAGATTACACAAGATATCAGAAGGCAATTCTGTTCAATTTTAACTTTTGATTTTACAATTTTGTGACAAGCTTAAGTCTTTAAACCTTTTTCTTTCTCCTGGTAATGAACTACCTAAAAGTTGGATGATTGTTATTAAGAAATACTGTCTTTAATAAATACAAACAAACACTGATAATGATGGAAGGGCATACAATGGTAAAAAAATTCACATACCCTCATGTTACAGATAAATATTTACTAACAATTATCCAACTAATAAAAGTGTTATAAATGGGTTTATTAACTCTAGAATTACTAATGGACATGAACCCTATCAGCTTTTTTAACATGTTTTTCTAAACCACTTATGCATTAAATTGCTTGCATGTCTTTGACTATTGTTGCGTCAGCAGTCACATGACTACAGTGACGCAACGTTTCTAGAATTATCATGTACTTTGACGAATGCTCTAGTATTTACTAGTAGGGTAGG